GTCATGTCCAACACTACTGACAGTTACTCTACCGTATATCATCCCCTTTTCTCAGTCAACCTGATGGTGTACCGATTCCTGGGGATGGAAGAGCTTGCCAGTACCAGGTAGGTAAAGCATTGTTTCTGTGTTTCAACCGTAGCTATGGTACTAGGGGTATACGTAATATCATACCTTGTATGCATTTGCATACAAATGCGCATCCACACTCGTACGGCTATACCCCTTCTGTGACGTCGCCATAAAGGTCTCACATGATCTCCTCGATATCTATGAGTATTAGAGTAGCAGCCAGCGAAGAATTTCTGGCAATCCGAGTCTCGCTCTGTGCCTACTTATCGTCTAGGCCCAATTAACGAACCATTATTGGTATAATTATGCCTACTTACCTACTTCTCATCTATTTTTGGCACAATCAGAGACAAGCTACTATACATCACGTCCACCGCTCCCCATGAGGCTGCGGCGTACAATGCGGCCACTCTTCCCGCCAAAGACTGGCCGTCGAAAGGTTCGGTACAAGTCACAGACCTGGTGGTACGATACGCCCCACACCTCGACCCAGTGCTCAAAGGCATCAGCTTCAGCTGCAAACCAGGTGGGTATACTGGTGTATAGTGAAAGAGTCATCTATGTATATGTGTACATGTATATATATATGTATAAATATATATATATATATATATATGTATATATGTATATATATATATATATATATATATGTATATATATATATATATATATATATGTGTGTGTATCTATATATCTAAGCCGAAGCGCATAGCGTGGAAATAGCACCCGCGAAAAATTAGCCATTGAGAGGTTCGGTACATATTCCCTAAATCAAAACCTTGAACATATTTTGTAAAACCTGACTATCTGAACGGTATAATATTGTGCACTGAACTATTATATATATAAATCTCTATGCTGTGTTTTTGTGTGATTGTACGTGTTTTTGTATGAACATATTTTGTAAAGGAAATGTACTGTCATTATATTTCTATGTGCTGCTAAGAGAGCTTGATCAGCTTGCTTTGCTGCACGGTCTTGTGCGTTTAAATGCTTCTTGGGCACACCATATACGTATACACAACCCTCGCACTAGCACGCACCTCTGGATGCACTCCCACCCATCCCGGTATCATAATGTTCCCTATTCCGGTATCGCAATGCCACCTATTCCGGTATCGTAGTGCTACCTACTGCCCCTCGACAAACAAATTACCTCCACACTCACCTCCTGGTCATACCCATACATTCCCCTTGATAGAGACACTGTTTATCTCTCAGTTCCATAGTAATTTCTATACTCCCATAACCCCCAGGTGAGAAACTCGGTGTGGTAGGGCGTACAGGTGCTGGCAAGTCCTCCCTCATGCTCGGCCTGACCCGGTTGCTTGAACTGGACTCCGGGGTGGTGCGCATCGACGACATAGACGTCTCTACTCTGGGTGTGCGAGACTATCGAGAACGTCTGACAGTCATCTCCCAGGTGGGTGTGGGTGGCACGGGTTGCTGTATGTATGATTGTGTGGTGTGCCTATCTCTCGCTGCGCACACACATACAACTGAGTGTATATGTATATGTGTATATGGAAATGTTTAGTTACAGTCTTAGCATGATGTGCATGTACTTGTGTGTGCTCAGGCTGGCAAAGCCGGTGGATGTCTTAAACCCTAAACCCTGAGCGTTTATTTGGGTTATGATTTAGGGTTTAGGGTTTGGAAAACTACCCATACGCTAAAACAACTCGATCTAACCTCAAATGAAACAGTTTATGCTCTTGTCCTGCAATAGAACCCGACTCACTACAAGATGATGTCAACGTCTTAATTTCTAGCTAGGCGTATATATATTATACATATTTACACTATTATTTATATATGTATTTATATACATATATACATATATATATATATATAGTCTTAATTCTTTATTCTTTATTCTTTATTCTTTATTTCTTTTTTTATCTTAATCTTGATCTCACTCTTGATCTTTATCTTTATAGATTGTTATGCTTATACGTATTCAGACTCGAATAGATATATATATACCAAGAACATGTCTATCTGTGTTCCTGCATGCATATTTTGGTCAGTTTACGCACATAAGATATATGCACTTCTAAGGGTTATGCTATACGCAATGTCTGTTACAGGAGCCCCTCTTCTTCAGCGGAAGTGTGAGGCAAAATCTTGATCCCTTCAATACGTACAGCGACGAAAAGATTTGGACTGCATTAGGGCAAGCGGAGCTGGCCGACACGGTAAGGCCCTAAATCTCCTATGTATCACTTTCTGAGTGAAGCCATCTATCCTGTTGATTTGTCCTACGTTTTCATGGATTGGCAGTATAGTGTGTGCTTTGCTGTAATTCGACATGCATCGCTTTTAGTTGTTCGGTATAGTACACTTATATATGCGCTGAGATATTACCGTGGACCCAACATGCATTGTGTGCGTTATATATATATATATATATATATATATATATACTTACACCTCACAATAGTGCTCTGATACCAAACATCCCACTCACTCACGACCTATATCACTCACAATCATCTATCTCGCACTCAACCACAGATCATGCAACTGCCCCAACAACTCAACTACTACATCGCCGAGCTGGGTGCGAACATGAGCATTGGCCAGCTACAGCTGCTGAGTCTGGCGCGAGCCATCCTGCAACAGCCTACAGTGATGTTGATGGACGAGGCTACTGCCAGTTTGGACCTTATGACGGATAGGTTGATACAGAAGACAATCAGACTACACTTCCACAACGCGACAGTCATTCAGGTGCGTTGTAAATACTTAGTAATTGCTGATTCGCACGTTTGCTCAGCCATTTTTTTGGGTTTTGGGTTTTGGTTATTCAGGTGTGTGGTAGTAATTGCTGGTTTGCTCAGTTGTTAAGGTTTTGGGTTTTGGATTGTTCAGGTGCGTGGTGGTAATCGCTGGTTTGCACGTTGGCTCAGGAATGCCGGTAGTAAATTGTACGTGCGAATACGTCATATGTATACTAGCTTCGCCGCCGGAGAGCACTTACCCACTTACCCCATGTTCCTGTTAGAATTCTAGTGTGTACGAATGTCCAAGGTGTCCACAGTTGCCAAGCATCATTACAAGAAAGGAGGAGTATCGGATACTAACAATGAACAATACCATCATTGCCAGCGTTGTATTCAACACTACAGGGTATTAAAAGGATGCGTTAAGCTCTAACACTACAATCATTCCCATCGTTGTGTACAACTCAGGTGGCGCATCGATTAGACACAGTCATAGACAGTGACCGTGTGCTTGTACTGGACCAAGGTCTCATCGTCGAGCAGGGCTCGCCACACCAGCTGTTGCAGGACACAGCTGGTATCTTCTATGGCATGGTACAAAAGTCTGACGGAGACGCGCAACGGCTAACGTCCGAGGCGGCAACAGCACACAGGCGAAGAGAAAACCAATCATAATTACATAGCAGTGTGGTTCAAATTACGGATTAGAATAGAAGGCTACCAAACGGAAGAGAGGGACCTTGTAGCCAAATAGAAATTGTAGCCAAATAGAAAACAGGAGAATAACTTTGATGGACCTAAATAAGGTCCTCGATGGCAATATACAATTGGGGTTGTATCCCGACGAACGAGGATAATTTTTATTTAAATTGAAGTCGGAAGTAAATAGCAGTAGTCAGCGATTAAATTACTCGATTATGGATATAGAATAAAAACTGTATCCCATTTAAATGTACTGGAGTCGTCTGGAAACTCATATACAACAAATATCTTAATAATGGTACAGATATCGATTAATGGCCTGGGGCACAATACAAATGTTATATATTGAACTGGCGCCGAATGAGTCCGATGGTAGTGAATTTGCGAGAATTCTCGTATGGGTCAGTCTGAGCTGCAGATATGTAGTGTCCCTGACTGTCTTTATCGGTATACTGGCGATGAAAGTGTAGTTGATGCGTAGATACGAATTCATCAAAATGGTAGATTCGGAACTTTATAGGCTTGCCGAATGCTCAGGCGCCAATATTTAAAGCGACTGCTTAATAAAAAAAGCATCACAGTATCGATGTACTATACAGGACAGTTCTGCCAACATCTTCGGAATGATTTGATTTTACATCAGACTGTCGCTGCAACACAATATATCTATAAGAGACACATCATTGAACGATTATATTATCGAGAACCAGCGGTTTTTAAAATCCAGCATAGAACATATTGAAAACACATTTTATATAAAATCTGAAGACTGGTTTAAGCAAAACTATCAGTATAGGAATCAACTAGATACAACGATGACACAACACAAATTGAATTTATTGTGGGGTTTTACTTCTAGTATTTGATGTTATGTAAAGCCTAACCGGTACGACTCGAACGGGGTGTTACGACTCGAACGGGATGGTACGACTCGAACGGGGTGGTACGACTCGAACGAGGTGGTACAACTCGGACGGGGTCAAGGAAACAGACTAAGTTTATGTCTTATGTTGGTTGTAGCTTTAGCTGAGTTTAGTGAAGTTACAACCGACAGTCTCACAGCTTTAATTATATGGTAGTTTTCTGTTCGTCTGAACATTCATGTGTTCTAGCCGTTGACAGTTTAGTGTCACACGAAAGTAGTTGTTGGTTTCTAATTGGCGATGGCCTTTAGCTCGTCAAAATTACGTGTAAGGGAAACCAGTTTTGTTTTATGAACAATTCTGTAGGTTTCAGCAAGTTCTAGTCCATAGTTTTACATCCCCCCATACGGCCTGGTTCCTTGGAAAACAGGGGCGTATTAAAGCACGCAGACTAAAACCAAACATGTATTAAAGACCAGGAAAAAACTTAAGTGGTCTGAGTAGCAATATACATAGTATGCCAGACAAGGAGTTGGGAGTTCAAGTATGCGAGGCTATTAGCCAAACGGTAAGCACATGCACAACCAGAACGGATGAAAGTGAACTGAGTGGCAGTTAGATGCTGTCGTGAAAATTCATCATCTCGGTACGAAAGATAGAATCAGACCGTTAACAGTTGTGAGCAGCAGCAAGGCTGAAATATTTACGGATAGCCACATTGGACTATTTCTGGAAAAGTATATCAGGCGTTTAAAAACCAACGCAAGGCGAGCTTTATCAGTTTCAACAGCATCCGGAAAAAGGCTTTCATGGAAAAGTCAATCAGTATAGATGGACGCAGCACGTGTACCGCGAACGATACGAGCAGGATACCAATGCGAGGGCGATAACCTTAGAGCTTCGATCTTCGATCGATGGAACCGGAAGAATTTAGAAGTAGCGGCATCTAACATAACATGCATAACGGGAGGAATTGATTCACGGACAACTGCCGGACCTCCCCGACGTTTAGCTGCAGAGAATGGATTAGTCTTGAGTTTGCAAAGAACCTCTCGACCAATCGCAAATAAAGATGCATCAGTCCAGAATCTGTTCGCTTGAGCTGCCTGAGTTTCTTGGGCCTTGCGGGTACGCTCCAAGATCTCAAGGTCGGAGTCAGTAGGAAGAGGAATCAACGAGATAGGTTGTTGGCCAGAAGATAAGTTCTGTTTATCGATTGTAGGACCCGGGCTGGAGGGATAACCCGTGACTGTATTTTATTCTCCTGAAAAGAGAGGATAGCAAGAACCCTGTGTCCGGTGAGAGGAGAGAAAGAGACAACACTCCGGGGGGCGTGGCTCCTGGGTATTACATTAGTGCGGGTAACACTACGGGGTACATCTCCCTGTATATCGTGTGAGAAAACACCCTTACCTAGCTGTTGGAATTGTATGTTAGCTTCGCACCAAAGCACGTACTATTGGACTTATTTGCAAACTAGCCCTTTTCGTGCGCATATATATACTCATGTATAAAAGCGCGTTTTGGACATAATCCAATAATAAATCTCCATATGGTTCATCAATGGAAGGTGGCCGATAAGGCACTATAGCAGTGAATGTAGAAAGTCGGGGTGGTGGTCCACCGACTGCTGAAGGAGGACAGGTAAAACCAGATGCATTAGAGCGAGGAGTATTATCTGAAGTATCAGTCCGAGCAGAAGGATGCGGTGTCGCAGGAAAAGATTTTAAATGATATCCATAGTAGAAATGCGGTTTATCAGAACGAATTTGTATCCGTATCCTGGTGCACGGGCTGGGATTGGCGACCAGCAGCTAAAGATGTCGTAGTTGAAGATTGAGAGTTAAGGATAGTAGTTTCGGAAGCAGGTGCTGACTATCGCCATGTGCGGTGCTCACACGTAGTGCGCAAGCGAGGCCTGTCGCCAACCATAATCCCTTGCGAGGGGTAAAAATGAAAGGCAGATAGTAGTCGCTTTGTGAGGGCCAGAATAGGCACCAAATTTGGAATGATGGGATTGAGGACACCAAGTGTTGGGCAAGTGGCACTCAGAACATGCAAGGAAAATTGAGATAAAGGAATGTATTCCTTCGAGGAACTGGAAGTAATCAAAATTAAACCAGCCAACGTGTAGCGCCGTGGTGTCACGCCAGGAGCCGTAGTTGCGTTTTAAGGAATGCATCCTCAGTATGGGGAACGATGAATGGCACTGCCAGCAAAAAAAAAATTGGAAGAAGGCAGGAATCCAAGAACAATGATAAGATGGCGACAGCTTTACAGTCTATAGCATACCAACAACGGCGGAAAAAAGGTCGGTGTGGACGTCACAGGGGGTTGACAAAGAAGAAAGTGTACTCCAAACTCTGATGTTCACCGGGCGTTATTTGCCCTCAGTACCCTCAGTTTTTGCGCAAACCCGACGAAGATTTTGGCACGTATCACTAACGTAAAGGTCAATGTCTGGGACCCCCCATTTATCACATCAGATCTTGAACCAAACAGGGTTGAGAAAAGGCTCATCTCGATAAGCAGAAAGGTGCGGGGCCAATGAGGCAACTAGCAAAGGGGGAGGAGTAACAAGGGGCGTGACCCAAGTAGGGCGTTTATGAGTAAACTGCATTATAGGATATAAATACTGGGGTGCTCGGGAGGGCATGTCTGCCACATAATTTCATCCTCCTGGAATATGGCGAATATGTGCTGCGTGACGGCGCACCTTTTGCGCTAAACGAAGAAGACGATCGTCTCTAATTGTCTTAGGAAAGGCAATGTTCTGATGGAAGAATGGGATCACATTTTGATGATCAGTCGAAATGTTCAATGGGTTATAGGTTACAGTTTATATAGTCATCGATGCCGTAAGCAATAGCCATCACTTCTATTAGTCAGAAATGTGGTGACAATGTTGAGCTGGGTTGAGTTTTATACTGCGATAAGAGACAGGGTATAGCCGGTCAGCGTCAATTATGAAAAGCCATGGACCCATGGGTCAATAGTCGACGATGAAGAGTCTAGCACGGTAGTTACACAAGACAAATATCTTGCCCGTGCAAATATAACCGTTTTCGCTCGGAATATTAAACGGTCAGCCTGAGACTTTCTTGAACGCTTAATAGCAGGAAGTTTAAAGTTTACAGCAATACTCGGAGTATGAGTGCGTTTCAGACCAGACATAGTAGAAGCACAAGGAGTAGAATCACGTTGCTGAGGCTGAAGAGCGTGATTTAGATTCACAAGGTGTTTGTAGTAGAATGCTATTGCAATTTATTGTGGAGCAGAGTTTGATCCGCCATAGGCTTAGAACTCAAAGGTTGGATTCAGCCCACAGGAAAAGAAGAAGAAGTTTCATTAATACGAGGAATGCGGACGAAAATACCTGTACCGGGCATCAGCAAACATGTTAAGATGATGGTCTGGACAGAGCAATGAAAAGGTAACACCCACAATAGCCGTATTAGCCATGGTATAAGCTGCATGGCAAGCAGCGGTATAGATAAACTTATCGTTCTTAGACGTACGATCAGTCAATGGGGCAAGGATAGTAGCCAAAAGTGGTACATATTGTGCCCACCAATCCATGGTGGCACAAAAAGTCTGGACTTCAGATTTGTCCTTGGGGGGAGGCATGGACACAAGAGATTGGAGACGATCCTGAGAAATCGTTGTAATTGCGTAAGGTCACACGGCTATAACAGACTTTAGGGATTTCTTGTAGAATATCTAAATGGCATTTCGATGGGCGTAGACGTATTCTAGCTGACTAGAAAATTGAAGAGTAAACAAGTAAATCTTCCCGGTGCTGTTCCAAGGAATGAGCTTTCATGAAGATAGCAAATTTGCGATCCATTACCTCTTGCAAGACATAAGTCATCATCTTTATACCGAATACACTGACGATGGGTCGCCAAACATCACCAGTGAATGTCATCCCTGTAAGGTAGTCGCGTGAATCTTTGTGATAACGTACTTACTGTGAATGGTTTTAGCGGTTGATGGGACGGAGGACAGTAGCATGACATCAGCTATTTCGTTCCTGATACTGTTTTGGCGCTCGGTCTCAATGTCCTGTTTCCAGGAAGCCCAAGACGGAGATTTCTTGGCAGAAGCAATTTGATTCGGGACTGATGTGTCAAAAAGCGCAGCGGCGTTGGATAAAGACAATTCTGGACGGTTAGAGGGCGTAACAGAGTGGGCAGAGGAGATGGGTAGTGGTGATGTGATGGTTTAAACAGTGGGGTTAGGGGACAGGCAAGCGACCGAGGTGGCAGAGGAATCAGGATCCTCCGAATAACAATGTATAACGGGGAGTTCCAATGGAGTAAGTGAATATCAAAAGTAAAACTAGTTGAGTTAGAGAGGGGGCCAGGGCATTCACGAAGGGCCAATTCGGATGAAATAGGAGGAGGTGGGACATGATATGGCTTTGATCAGGGCCGAGAAGTTGGGTTTAATGTGGATGTGGGTGGTAGCCTGGAGGGCAAAGATTGGCGTAGATTGTATCGGTGCCGATGCGATGTGTTAGAGCGAATTTTAAACCCTAAATAACCCTAGTGTATTTTAGTGTCATAAGTGTCAGTGTCATGTAGGGCTAAAGCCCAGCATAAACATCTTGTTGTATAAACCCTGTATATACCATATATTATAGACACTATGAAAATAAAATTACTTTGTAAATAAATGGTTCTAACAGGTTATGGGCTTATTTGGTACCAAAACCAATACCGCTATCACGGAACGCAACGAGTAGCTCGCCACACATACTGATGAATACACCCAACTGAGCACCACAACCGACACTCACGAAGCCATCATCTGGGAGCTCAAGCAAAAGAGGGACGCCCTCCTCGACAACTCCAGGAAGCCCGAACACGCCGTGCTGCACACACGTCCTTGACCAGCTCCAGAAAGACAAGGACATTCTTCACTCTAAACTCGACGAAGCCCGCGCGGATCGTGATACCAACTCCAAAAGCTTGAAGTTTGTCTCCAGGAACGCACTCAGTTGCAGGCCAGCCTTAAATCCTGTTTTATCGAACGTATTTTCCTAAATGAACAACTTGAGGATCTCCCGTAATCCTGTAGAAATACGGCCTCCGGTCAGTCTAAAATATCAAGTTCAAATGAGTTAGCACATTGGGTTTTATTTGTATTTAAAATAATTTAATACAAGTTCTTTTTTCAATATTTCCAAAGAGTTCTAAATTCACTTTGATGGCTCCAATAGCCCGAGTATTTGGTATGACTCATTTACTTGGATCTATTTGAGACGATAGTAGATATAGGATATTGTAAACTAAATTTTTTAATTTCAGAACTACTACTTACAGGTTTTGTTATTCCCGCCAATCTCCAAATTCCAATAAGTCTTTTTCTTTTTTTTAACTTTTCTTCAGATGGAACTTTATTTATATTAGCTAATGTATTAACCTGACTTACGTTCTTATGTTTATCTACAAATTAGATATGTGATCATGAACACTTAGTACTTCTAGTGAAAATTATTCAATAAAGAACAGCTAGAGGTACGTCCTGTGTCATCGAGGATATTAATGCTCTTACCAAGAGGCAGTCCCGATCATTCTTACACAAGCTATCACTGCTAAATCCTAACTGACTTAAATTGTATCTTAGTTTATATAACATAGTTTAAAACATAGAAATATCCATCGAAGTTTACAATCCCAACAGCAACCATCCCCTCACCACGCCACACTCGCCAACGAGAACACACGTCTCCGCACAACCCGTGACGATTCTATCCATCACTCAATTTCGCAGCAAGATTACCAAACTCAAGCCAATCCTTTCCTCACAACGCTTCGATCACTACGCACTGATCACTGCCACTCTTGAAGAAATGAACGAGTTTAAATCCTCTCTCAACTACGCATACATCGAGATCATCACCCTCAACAACGATCTTCACACAACACGTGCACAACAATCTACTGATGATGCTCACATCCTCCGCCAACGCCTACAACTTGCGGAACAAAAACTGCGACGTCTGTCAATACCGCCTCCCCTTTGGCACACCTCTCGCTATCCCTACACAACAACTACACAACATTCCCAATAGCCGAATTAGCTCCTCCAAATCCTTGAAATACACACGGAGCTACCTAACCACCAAACTAACTGGCGACAAGAATTTCACCAACTAGCATCGCCAGTTCCGTTGTCACATGATGAAGAAGCACGATATTCTACACACCCTTCATCCACACACTACCCTGACGATTCCAAACTCACTATTAGATACTACGATACTCTTCGAATCCTTTGGCTCAGGCCTTCCCGAGCAATACGACACCTACCTTGATCAAACCCTCAGCCACTTCATCGATTCCGTCACCATTGGTCGCATTTGTAAGCTGTTTGTTCAACTCCTTACTCTTACTCAGCAGCCATCACTTGACAACAGCATAACCAAAGTTACCCACCTCAGAGACAAACTAAAGGGACTCAATACAACAACCCCTGAATTTTACCACATATGTAGTTTGATCCAATCCCTTCCCGATTGTTTCCAACTCGTTGCTCAGGACATCATGGCAATAATAAACAATACATACACCTTTGACACCGTCGTCAAAAAAATACGCAACCATGCGATTAACATCAGTACCGTCCTGAGCTCGTCCTCCATATACGGCGTTGCCAGTACTCGTACAAAAACGAACTAACGTGGAAATGGCAAGATCACCACTTGCAAACTCTGAACCGCCCCCATCGGTGTCGACCCCAACACACCAGCAACTGCACCGCCTGTTAAATACCCGCTCACGGTGTATACAAGTGCTCCAACACCAGCTGCAGTCGATGCGGAAGTTCTAACCACAAAGGCTTTGAACGCACAATGCCAGGCCCTCTCACCTGCAAAACTGCCACCTCGCCAACGAATACACTACGGAGGCTTGGCAGCGTAAGTGTGATGATCGGGCATTGTGGGATAACATCGCTCTCACCCCCTCCACCAACCCCGCCCACCTGAACCACTATACTATAAAATCACTCACTCTGTGTAAACCCTCACATCAACAGCCTAAAACAACCCTTGTTTGCCAACGCCCTTATTGATTCCGGTACAGACATCTCTATCGTCAACTATGCTGACCATTTCACGGATATACAATCCGGCACATACCTTTTCGAATTTGCCGGTGGTACCATGGGCAGCACCATATCCGGCCTCAGCCCTGATCTGGTCTTCCCCAACGCCAGTCAACCCATCCTCCTCAGTCTACAACCTTCAAGCCAACGACTATACTGTCACATTTTTGGAAATCGACCAACCGAGCACCCCCGGAGAATGCACAATCATATATGACACCGACACCGTCAAGATCATCATCGAAGTCTCCGGACGCTAGCAACTCAATGCTATCCAAACCATGAGTCCCAACCCTCACCACGCCAGATTCGTCCACTAATCCACCCTTGCCACTATACCGATTGTCAAGGCCAATGACCTTCTTAAAATGGCTATACCGTCACATTTCTGGAAAACAACCAACAGAACACCCTCGGAGAATGCCACATCACCTATGACACCGATACCGTCAAGATCATCGTCGAAGTCTCCGGACGCTAGCAACTCAATACTATCCAAATCGAGAGTCACAACCGTCACAACCCTCACTCCATCCTTGCCACTAAACCGATTGTTAAGGCCAATGACCTTACCACTAAACAGCCACTAAAATACTGCAATGACTATCAACTCGCAATGGACTCATTTCAAAGACGTGTCCAAATTTCATTCGGTCCCATCGACATCGACATGTTTGACTCCAAGCATAATAAGCAAGTTCCCACATACTGTACTGTCAATTACACCGACAAGGACACACTATACCACGATGCATTTAAGCAATATTGAATTCCGGAAATGACGCGTCTGCAATAGGGTTTTAGGGTTTTATTAATCACAATTCTATGTGGAACTAGAATTTCTCTACCATCGGGCTATTTGAAAATACCCGTCTCTATGGCTTTGGATGAGTCATCCCTTCTATCTCGTTAACTTTACTAATCGATCCGGTCCTCTGATCCGGCCCTCAAACAATAATCCCCTAGGTCCGGTCCCCTGGTTCGGTCCTTAATTTCTCTCTCAGGTCTAGCCCCCAGGTCCGGTCCTAAATATTTGCCTAGAGTACTTTGTGCACATACATATTTATCTCTGCCGCTGTGGGTTCAGTGATGTACAACTCTGTGAGGGTCGATAACTTACACCGTTTCACATCCTGCAGAATTACCAAAGGCGGTCGGCATCTCCATCGATATCGGAATTTACAGCGCTATACTTTGAGCATGTTTCAACATTCTGTCTCTCTACGAAAAACGTGCACATTACTAAGGGGCTCGTGCGGCTAATTTTGTCTCACGGAGCTGATTTACTTCATATCGTTCGTCACGTTTTTAGTTAACCGGCCAGTTGGCACCGTCCATACTTGCGTTAGGCGTTGAGGAGCCTATTGTGGATGCGATGTTACTGCTACCTGTTGCTCAAGAAAATAAACACTCATGTTGTCAAGCCGTGTCATTGTATAGGCATAGATATGTCAATATTCCGATAGCAATGCCACTAGCAAGTGTGACGTATGGAACAGAGCCTAGGCACTGTTGTGGTGACGGGGCAGCGAATGTTTTCTAAAACATTACAAAGTCTTACTAAAAGGATTTAAAGAAACTGGTCAGCATGTCATTTGTGACATGCTGACTTTAGGCGAAAACCTGGTGCAAAATATAAAACAAAATGAGAATCTGTGACAAGAAACTGGTCAGCATGTCATCTGTGGCAAGAAACTGGTCAGCATGTCATCTGTGACAAGAAACTGGTCAGCATATCATCTGTGACAAGAAATTGGTCAGCATGTCATTTGTGACATGCTGACGGTAGGCGAAAACCTGGTGCAGAATATAAACCTAAATGAGAAATACCTACTAATTAGGAATCAGCCTTGTAGGATGGCGGCGGAGATCGTTTATTCCTTTTCCAAAAACATCATTCATATTTCATAGGGTTTTAGGTCTGATTTGTGATCACTGATGAGTGATGACTATGAAAAACAAAAATACATAGAACGCAATGTCAATATAAATTTGTGTTTTTTTTAATGAAACTGGAAACACTCACAGAGTCAGAATTTCTGAAACCGAAAGATCTGTTGTCTGTTCTATTGCGGTGCTCAGGCGCTCAGCCTTCAAGAGCAACCGTGGAGCCTCGGACGATAGTGAGGGCGGAGGCTGGCGCGCCGGGACCTGGGGCCCTGGGGTCTGGGCCAGTCCCGCTTGGCCTTGGAGTCTTCGACCTAATGGACGGTTGGGCGGCTGTGCGGCTGGGCGGCTAGGCCGCAGGGTGGTTAGGTGGATGGGCCTGTTTTTACATATTTGCGCTGCCCCACAGCCCCAGCCCCCATATAAAAAGGCCTAAATATCTGTAGTTGGAACTTGGAACGTAGTATGTAGTAGACTACTAGTAGGCCAGGCTCCATAACTTTGGAATTTACAGTTTCTAAACTTTCTATAAACTACTGTTCCATGACGTTGTATTTAATGAAAATACCCTTAAATCCCGATCCGGACTTAAAATAAATATAAAAACCATTTTTTCTAAAAATAATTAAACTTCTAAAGAGTAAATCTGAGACCGAAATAAACTGTGAATAACAGAATAAGAGTCAATAAGTCATCAGTCGTCAGGCTTGTCACTCATCAGTCGCGTGATCTCCAGAGCAACGAGTGAGGGGCTGAGGACTACATAGTAGGTCACTAAATAAATACATGGGAGTTAGGAACTTCAAAAAAAAAAAATACTTCTTCTCTGGAAGTTGGAAGTTGGAAGTTTGGAACACGCACACACACAAGACAACAACAAGAGAGAGAGAATAAGTAAAAACTCAAAAGTCAAAACCCAAAAAATAACTGCAATATTGATTTTTCAAAAATCGATATTGCAATTATTTTTCTAGTTTTTTTTCTAAAATATGTATATATATATAAAAAAGCAAAAATGGAATGTCTTTATACGTCACTGGTGACAATAAAACTATTAACCACCTCAGGCTCAGTTTCCTACTAGTCCATACTTTTCGAGTTTACTTTGCTTTTAAAAAAGATGTATTTAGCGTGATTTTAGCCCATTTATCGCACTTGTTGTATTAGTTCTTTGCCGGCCTCAGAGGAGAGGTCGATGTATGTTAGACATGAATAGTGTCAACTGTAAAACCATGGCCTAATCCGAAGCAATAGCTGAGACAGAGGACGCCTATATACATGTGTCTAACTGCTAACATATGTCAAGCCCTTAAGACCGACAAAGACCTAACATAAGTGCAACAAATGGGTTGTATCCGCGCTACAATTTCTAACATTTAAGTCGAGCGTTTTCAGCCGACAGATAACAAACAAACCGGCAGAAAACAAACACATCTCACAAGTACTTTTAAAATCACGCTAATTACATTGATACAAACCCTAAAACTCGAAAAAGTACTTATGAGACTGGTAGGAAACTAGGCCCGTGGTTGTTTCGAAAAAGGTATTCAGCAATCAGAGTACATATCACACAGGCATTTAGTCATTCAGACCTCCGAATTACTCAGACTACTCTTCATATGCTCTAAAACATATGTTATCCTTTGGGATCTACTCACGTTGGCTCAATTAAAAAAAAATACTACTCTGGATGTTTTGAAAATATTGCGGCAGTAATGACAACTACTAGTAGAGTAGAGTGGACTAGTAATAGTACTGAGTAGCTGAGTCAGTAGTAAAAGTACAGAGTAAAGCGAGTCAGTTAGTGAGTATCTGAGAGACTTAGAGTGACAAGAGTCCCCCTCAGTCTGATAGTTGCTCTTCTTCTTGCGACTCGTGTTATGTAGATGTTGCGAGGGCCCGAGGGGCGAGGGAGCGCTTGTCATTCAGTTCATCAGATGACTATATATGACAGGTGACAGCACATACATAGCCTTCAAAAGTTCTAAATTATAATTAAAAACCAAAGAGAGAAGACAAAGAGTATATAAAGGCAGCAGAGTGAGCAATGTGGAACACTAAAATCATTACAATTGCCTACCAACATAATAGTCGCTTCTAAACACCATGATCTCATACATTATTTCTACCGTTGCTGTCTTCTCAGCCATCACCTTGAATGTGCAGTCAGTCACTGTCAGACAAGCGGCATCCACAGACATCGGAGACCTCTGTGGTGCTATTACCGATAAGGCGGAGTGCAATGTACACGAGTTCTGTTCATACAAGGACGATCAAGTAGAGTGCAATAAACTAAATTCCTGGGTAGAGGCCATTAATAACCCTATGTGCATTGCTTACACCACTGCTATCGAATGCGAGGCCGATCTACTGTGCAATCAAGGCAAGAACACTCTCAGATGTAAGGGAGAAAACGACTATTTGTACTTGAATGAGAATGGAACCGCGGTTGCCACCGGTATTGTGCAGCCCACTGGAGGTGAGTATGTACACACGTCCAAGTACTGTCGAACCTATCTAACCGAGGCAGAGTGCGCAGCCGGACCCCACTTTGGCACTGTGTGCGAATGGGAGGAAGCGGAGGCAGCGGTACCCGCTACAGCAACCGAGTCGGCCGTCGAAGCAAAGGCAGCGCAGTGCGGTAACAAGAAAAGGACCAACGAGGCCGCCAATGATTTGATATGTAGACCTGATTCAGTGCCTTTGGAAGCTGAAGCTTGTGCGGAAGATATGCGCTGTGAACTTGGACTTGTAGGTTCCGATGAGAGCTGCAAGCCTTCCGACCAGATCATTGTACTCATCTGAATAGAATAACACGGGGGGAACTATAAAATGGACAAAACGATAAAACGTACTGCATCTGTCGAACTATGAACAAACAATACGTACTAGTATGGATCTGCGCTGTATATTAATCCATATAAGTATACTTACATGAGAATGAATGTATAAATAGATATTCACGTACAAATATATGTTCGTAATATATATATATATATATATATATACATCTATATATATATTTTCTGAATGTTAAAAAGGTAATTTGTACGTCATTTATGACTGTAATTGTTCGGTTGCTATATCATCGGTATGCTTGCAATCTTCTGTTTACAGTCACGCACATCGGCGCTTAACCAGTATTTGACCTGTAATGTGCCATTCTCATTCACAATTTCCAATCGACTATGTAGCTCTATCCTCATTCGCCGAGTTGCAGAAGTTGAGTGGCGGTGGACTGTACATTTGAATCGTTGGCCACGTATACGTTCTGGATAAGATCCTCATCGAATTGGGGGAAGGATTCCTTGAGGTGAGTCATGTCGCGCTCTGTCTGTTGCTGTACTTCGGCCTGGATGGCCTCCTATGCAAGACGAGGAAAGATAAATAACACAAGTGAGTTGTGTTATATTGCGAATAGTACGGAATAAGCCCTATCAATATGGCCCCTCATCAATATGTCCGTGCAACTCTGAATGAAATAATGTATAACGAGCGAAGATGGATGGTTTCATCCTGTTGCGAGATAAGCACAGTTGAAGAAATACCGAAATGAAGGCAGATATCAGTCTATCAATATATCGATATATCAATATAATAATATATATATATATATGCATTAAATATATGTATATATATGCATAAACACACACACACACATATATATATATATATCAAAATATAAGTATAAATATAAATATATACATATATATAAACCTATCTACATACACACACACACATATATATATATATTACTATATAAATATATATATATGAATATACATATATATATATATATACATAGATATATATAAATATGAATATAAATATATATATATATACATATATACATACACACTTATATATATATTTATTATACACACTTATATATATATATATTATATACATAGATATATATATGTATATATATACATACATACATACATATATATATATATCGAATGCAGCATATCATGTGCGTTTGCAGCTACGTGAAGCTTCGCATTCATGCATGGCATACCTGTCCGTGCAACAACAAGTTTTACGTATAAAAATGAACGTGTTTGGCTCCACAGTACTCGTACTACACATATACACACGCATACAAATATACATAGTATGTGCCTGTATACACACGCATACACATATGCACATGTGTACATAGTATGCGCCCATAAATACCTGCTCCTCTCGCGAGGTATGGTGCTGCTCTGCTACACCGGTTGGTGCAGGCTGCTGTGATAGTGGTTGTGGCTGTGCTGGGCTACCCGTGCCTGTACCGAGCATTTCGGTATAAGTTAGATGCTGAGTGAACTATGATAGATATTTAAATGGGGAATATATAGGTGTACAAGATATGCTTAGTGAACTCAGATGGTTCGTAGCTAGCCGTACCTGTACCTTGTATTTCGGAAGTGACATCTAGATATATAATTTACATGCTCTCTGACCTTTGAAAGATAGTTTTAAAAAAAAACATTTATGTGTACGATATATGATGAGTGAACTGTGAAATTACTTGGAGAAGGAACATATCAGTATCAGTTATATGCCGAGTGAACTTGGATAATCAGTGTGATGACTTGATGTTTTAAGTGCTCAGGATTTAGGGTTTACAATTTTCGGCTGGCCTGCGAAGGTATGTGAGCTATGCGGGGAAGGTTCGAATGTGGAGAAGTTTTCTATACTAACATTAACGGATACTATTTGTATTCAACAAAGACGCATACACTGACTCCTGCCAATGCATAGATACACATAAGCAAGTATACAGCAAAAGGCGTTATAAATTCGTGCAGTGAGAAGGAGCCGAACACTGTGGTCCTCTTATTTGCATGCGAGAGAACAAGGTATTTTCAATCACTTCGTACAATAAATGTGGTGCATTTGTACTCAGTCTGTAGCTGGTGCCTTGACTACACCGGAAACAGTATCATGGAAAGAACATGATAGATATGGTTCTCACCAGTATAAGTAAAAAATAATGAGGTATTTGTATCCCTCTTTACATCCGCATATATGTACAAACTACCCAGCATGTACACCGAATAAATATATATATTTAAATATAAATAAATAAATATACATACATACATACATACATAATATATATATATATATGTATACATTTATATTTATATAATAATTATAATTGTAATAATAATAATATACATACATACATACATACATACACATATATATATATAAAAAGATAATATATAATAATATAATTATATAATCATATATACATATCCAAATCGACACACACAAGCGACAGAAATATATACATGCAATCCATACATACATTCATATATATATATATATGTATATATACATAAGTATATATATACAGGTATATACATATTTATATATACTTGTACATATACATGTATATATATATGTTATATATATATATATATATATATATATATAAATATATATATAGCATGAATGTACATGCCCTCTATTTACATTCATGCAGATAGTAAAAGAAGCAAGCTACCTCAGTAGTTCACCACAGCAATATAAATAGTACACCACAACTGGAAGGTATTTTCATGTGTAATTAATTACGTTAAACTTGGAATATAGGTAACTCGGACGATAGACCTATTCCTTGCAATCCGACGTGCCTTACTATACAACAACCACCACCACTACGCCTGTGACGCATCCACTGTGAACCTAACCGACAGGGCTAACGTCTACGAAACAAACCGAGAAGCATGAGCTAGATTTCAGATACAATAGTATTGAAGTAAATAAAAAGCACTCGCCACATCCATACACATAAGATGATCTCACCTTGGACCACGTTACTTCGTTCTTCGTTGACAGACCTCTGGACCATCACCACCTCCGCGGCAATGGCCACCGTGCCCGTGCGTGCGGTTCCGATGGCAACGTCGAACTTTCCGGACACGCCCGGAGCGCCCTCCGCATAGATAGACTCAAGATCAACCTCACACTCACCTAATTTGTCGTCGGATATTAAACCCCAGGAAAACACCTCCACTCTGGTAGACACGTGTGCAGGCAAAGCGGATCGTGCTAAGTATACAAGAACGCACCGTCAAGCGTACGTGTACAGGTATGTATGTGCGAATGATTTAATCCCGTGAACAGCTGGAAATGCCAATACTATTTTGGCCATCCACCGCAAATGGGGACAAACTGCAGGATTCAGGTAGAGTTACTACGGCAACTATGAGTGCGTACTGCTCAAAGCATGTGTGTACGGTAGATGCCCTGATTGAAGACCATCACCAGGTGGGAAAGGTTGTGAAAAGGGACGAACCAAACAAAAGCCTATTGGTAATTCAAATACCCCCCACCTATGGATGGGCACGTACTGTACAAACTACAAAGCTAGGGCGATGGCTTGTCCTCACCCCTTCGCACCCAAGCAGTACAGGCGCAATAGGCGATGGATGTAATCAAACATACAACTCCATTATTTATAACCCTCTCCAGTAAACACTATCTGAGTCATTCTGGTATCACAAGAGAGAGACTTCCAGCCGCGATATCGATGGACCCGTATGTACTGGGCTTAGTTGTGTGTATTGTGCTGTACTTTAGACGTGTGTGTGTAGTAGTATGAATTAGTTTTGTGCTGTATTAAGATTTGTACGTGCGTGAGTGATACTGACCAATATCCAGTATGTGTACGAGATACTGACCAATATCACAGTATGTGTACGTGATACTAACCAATATCACAGTATGTGTACGTGATACTGACCTATATCACAGTATGTGTACGTGATACTGACCAATATCACAGCATGTGTACGTGATACTGACCAATATCACAGTATGTGTACGTGATATTGACCAATATCACAGTATGTGTACGCGTGTATGTGTGTAGTATGTACCCAAATGACACTAAAATCCCGGTGTGTGTGCGTTATCCATGTAGTATGCATAAAGTGTTGTATATAGACGTATTTATCCGCGTCCCGGCATTATGTGAGCGTACAACTTCTATTCTGCGAATACTACCCTCCCACTACGACTACCAATAGCAACCTACCGTACACATCACCAATATAGGATGGTTTAGGAGTCACATCATGTCTATACATCTTGTACTTGACCATATATGATAACGATCGCAGACCAAGTCAAACCACACTATAGCATGGCTCGTCCTTTGCATAAGCACATACTTTATACGCCTGGGGGACATGTTCTTGATACCGAACTGTATGGTGTCGTTCCACACAGGTGAGGTCCCACAGTAACTGGCTGTCTTCGACCGTAGCGCATGCTTTCCAATGCTCAGCTGTACATACACCGACATCGGCATCACTCCCTGCAATGAAGAGTGAAGTTAAGAAAACAAAGGCACATACGAGGGATAGGGACAACATACACTGATAGTATAATGGAGACTAAACGATATGGAGACACAGTCTCGAGATAGATACAGTGTCCCGACTGCAAGTGAACGGGGCAGAGGGTGTAAAGCATTCAATACGACGAGAAGCTCCTCAAGCGACGAATACAGACAACAATGAGGTGGTAGTGGAGACGAATACAGGTGCGTTTTATAATTCCATACATAGACAGTATATCAACATATTAAAATATGCATATATATATATATATACATATAAATTATAACTATTATTGTTATTACTACTACTATTATTATACATAAGTATATATTTGAAATATAATATATATATATATATATGTGTGTGTGTGTGCATGTGTATGTGTACCTTTATTTAATTCATTCATTTTATGC